TGTCCCACACTGACAGGCTGGAGGAACTGAGTCTCTTCAGTCTGAGGGGAGTGTCCCACACTGACAGGCTGCAGGATGTGAGTCTCTTTAGTCTTGAACACAGAAGACTACGAGAAGACTGATGTAAGTATTTAAAATCCTCACAGACATCTACAGAATCAATGCAGTGGACTTTTTCACATTGAACAGTAAAACACAAACCAGAGGACACCAGTGGGAAATAAAGGCAAGTGGATCTCAAACCAAGAAAAGGAGTCACTTCTTTACTCAAACGACGGTGAGAGTGTGGAACTCAAGGGAATGAAAAAGAAACATGATTATTACAACATTGATTGAACAGTGCTGATTTAACATCGCACACATGGATGTGTGACTGTCACTGTCGTCTGCTACATAAACAAGACAACTGCTAAAACAAAGCAACCGCTAGAGAAAGTAAAAAAATAAAACCTAGAAAGTATCAACCCACATGATTTCCATATGTAAAATTCAACCTGCTGCTCAACAAAGGGATATTGTGGCCATGAGTCCCCTGAGGGACCAATGCAAAACAGAAGAATCCACGGACCCTCCTATCTTCACATGGACTCAGCCACTCCCGTGTGGACACGCCCATCTTCATAAAGACAAAGCACGCAGGCCCTCGGAAGGACACGCCCTCTCACACTTGGGCATGCCCTCTCACACATGGACACGCCCTCTCACACTCAGGACGCACTTACAGCGTGATCAATACCCCCAGCAAGAAGAATCTGTGGCACTCCGGACAAGTGTACTGGATCTCTCCACGCTTCATCACTGTGGCTGGGGAGATTGTTCCACACCTCCACAACTTTTTGTGCAAAGATTTCTCTCCTGTTTTCAGTCCCTGGCTTTAATCTTGGGGTACAATTTCGGGCCTTTTTTCTCATTTTGATGGCCGACGCTTGATCTTTCCCTGTTGAAGGGGGAAGACACCCAGTTTCCTGGAAAGCCCAAAGGCAGCTGTCAGACAGGCCAGATGACTCCTGACTACCCAACTCAATCACTTCCAAGCTGCACCTGATGCCTCTGTTGCACTGACTTTTTTATTGGCTGTAGAGTTCTGTACCTCCTCTAGTGTTGTCAAGGTCAACAGGTGGCCCAGTAAAGGCACCAGACACAGACAAGGAGATACACTGCATCAGTACCCTTGGCAGGTCAGCCCCTCCCAGCTCTGCGCAGCTCTGCGCATCACCTGCAGACATCAGGTCACTCAGCGCATCACTAGCAGAAGGCAGGAATTTCGGCAGCTCCCATTACTGTCCTGATTACGAAAGGGAGGAAAAGACACTTTCTGAAGCAAAACGTATCACAAAGCCACACGCAGGATAGTGTGCAACCTGCAGAAGCAGACTGGAATGTGTAGCTCTTGGGTTCCTGTGCTCTCAGCCCTGCTGAGGAAGAGCTCCCCACCGTTGTGCAGATATCAGCTCCACCTCCAGGCTTGACCACTCCAGTCACTCCTGGATTTGTTTAGAGGAAGTCTTCTTGGCAGCCTTGGAAGTTCTGCACCTTCACACTACCACTGATCCAAAAGAGACAAATCGTTCAGTCAGACACCCTGATGCCATGCAAAAATCTAGCAGGAAACTGACTCCACTGAAGGGCATAGTTAGTTTTTGACTTAAGTCCTAATATGATTAAGAAACAGAGACCATTTTTTCCCAACATGCAGTCGTGTTTTCGCTCAATCGGGCTGGTTTTAGACAGTGTGATTTGGGAGATTTTGAGTTGCTATGGAAGAGTAACGTCTCTGTGGACACTGCTGTCTTGGGTGTGTCTGTGTGTGGAGCCAGAGTTGGTGAGTGTGGGTGTCAGTGTGCTAGTAAGACCACACTATGCAATCATAATGTGCTCTCATGTATCTTCTTCTTCTTTTTCACAGCCTTAGTCCCAGACTGTCCTGGGGTCAGCTGCTTTGGTTGCTCTTCTCCACTTGTCTCTGTCGAGCACATCTTCCTCACTCACTTCACATACCTCCATATCTTTTCTCACACAATCTATCCATCTCTTTCTAGGCCTGCCTCTTCCTCTGTTACCTTCCACCTCAAATTCCATTACCCTCTTTGTTACTTCCTCAACGTCCCTCCTCATGATATGTCCATACCACCATAACCTCGCCTCTAGCATCTTCTCAACCACATCCACCACCCTACATTGTCTACGGATTTCTTAATTTCTGATCTTATCCTTCATTGAAATCTGCAGAATCCATCTCAACATCCTCATTTCAGTTCTTCTCATCAAGTTCTCTTCCCTCTTTCCAACTGCCAAGCATTCAGCTCCATATAGTAGTACAGGTCTAAAAACAGTCTTGTACATTTTGCACTTTAACTTTCTAGGAATTTTCCTGTCACAGATTATTCCAGTTATTTCTCTCCACTTGTTCCATCCAGCTTTCACTCTTTGTTTTACTGCCTCCAGTGTTTCTCCTCCCTTTGCCAGTTTTGATCCAAGGTATTTAAAGCCATCAACTTGTTTCAGTTTTCCTCCATTTGTCTCCATTTGTGCTCTCATGTATATATAACCATATTTAACTGAGACACTCTCTTCAAGCTGAAGGAACTGAGTCTTTTTAGTCTGAAGGGAGTGTCCCACACTGACAGGCTGAAGGAACCGAGTCTCTTTAGTCTGAAAGATTGTCCTACAGTGAAGGGCTGAAGGAACTGAGTCTCTTTAGGCTGAAGGGAGTGTCCCACACTGACAAGCTGAAGGAACCGAGTATCTTTAGTCTGAAAGATTGTCCTACAGTGATGGCCTGAAGGAACTTCTCTCTCCTCTCTCTCAGTGCTGGCTATTACCATGGACAAGAGGAACATATTTCTCCTGCTTGCAGGTAAGTTGTGACTTTTGTATTGAATTAACAATTTCAGGAATAACTTTTTTAAGTGTAATCTTTAAAATGAAACCAGTGAAGGCTGCTATGAAGCTGGAGTGCCTTAAAAAAAAAAATATTTTAGTCTCGGTCAGATGTTCATGGGACGATGCAGCTGTGAGAGCTCTGAATTTGCTCCCCCTACAAACTGAAACCCACCGCATTTGTCAGTGCTACATTTGTGCCGTTGAAAGCAGCGTTTGTACTGCTTTCACCCCTCGGGTACAGCGCCTTTTTTTTCAGAACGCGACACAGATTACTCAACCCCCCCCCACGACGGCTATATCACCAGGGCGTTTCTCAAAAAGAGTAGGGTTGTAACCCCGGCGTCCTGGCCAAATTTCCCATTGGCCCTTACCAATCATGGCCTCCTAATAATCCCCATCTATGAATTGGCTACATTACTCTGCTCTCCTCCCCACTAATAGCTGATGTGTGGTGAGCGTTCTGGCGCACTATGGCTGCCGTCGCATCGTCCAGGTGGGGCTGCACATTGGTGGTGGTGGAGGGGAATCCCCATTACCTGTAAAGCGCTTTGAGTGGATTGTCCAGAAAAGGGCTATATAAGTGTAAGCAATTATTAATTATTAATTATTATTATATCTCGAAAATTGAGCTATATCTCAAAAACAAGAGCACCTCAGACGCTACTTTCAACAGCACAAGCCAGCACAGGCAGGGCACTAACAAATGCTTCTGGCATCACTGTTTGTGCTGTTTGTGGGGGGGCTCAGCGCGTGGACAGAGAGCGCTTTAGGAGAGGGAAGGGAGCACTCCCACCGCTACTCTTCAACGGTCAGGCTGCAGAGGTGGGGGAGAATCTCACCCCCATCTCCAACACTCCAACGTGGGAGGTCAACACATCCATCACGGTCAGGACAGCTCGCCAGAGGCTGCTCTTCCCGAGACAGTGAAAGAGGTTTGGAGTGTCACGGGAAGCAATGACCCTCTTCTGCAGACCTGTCCCTGAGCCTGTGTTGATCTTCTCCCTCACTGTGGGGTCTGCCCACACCCCCAGGGCCAGAAGCAGCTAGAGAGACAAGGGCCGGACAGACGATAAGAATGAAAGGGTTTCTGTGCAGGTGCAGGCACAAACACAGAAGCAGAGCCGATCGTTGTTGTGCCCTGTCTTCCCTGCCCTGCAGTCAGCCTCGCCGCCGCCACCGGCCACGTGCGCGAGTTTCACTTCGTGGAGAAGGCGCGGACGTGGGCGGAGGCCCGGAGGCACTGCCGGGAGGCCTTCACGGACCTGGCCACCCTGAGACACCACGGCGACATCCGGAAGCTCCTCGGAGCCGCCGCCTCTTCCTCCTCCTCCTCTTCCTCCTCTGCCTGGATCGGCCTGCACCGCGGCCCGCAGGCCTGGCGCTGGGCCGACGGGAAGCCCTGCGGGTTCGTCAACTGGAGGCGGGGCCTGTTCTGCGCCCGAGTGGACAGCCAGGGGGCCTGGGAAGACCGGCCGTGCTTCATGGGGGAGAACTTCATGTGCTCTACGGGTAAGGATCCCGGGGCGACGCTGTCACCAGCTCGCAGGCAGGAGGAGGCCTCTTCTTCCATCTGGCTCATCCAGCTGTTTCTTGTCTCTTATATGGCTGGACAGCTTGTTCCACACTCCCACCACTCTTTGTGTAAGGCTGCGTCTCCTGTTCTCAGTTTTAATGATCCAATCTAGCAAAAGGTGAGCATCTTGTCCACCTTTCTCACCCTCTAGCACCTGGATTGCCTGCTATATCAGAAGACCGGAGGTGGTTGCTCCAGAGCAGCCGCCCTTTAAAGTTCTTTATTCAGTTTTAAGCCCCTCGTGCCCTTTAATTGCCAGTAAGGCTGGTGTCCACAGCAGTGCTCCAGTAGAAAAGCAAGCTCAAGCAAGTTCAAGTTTGTTTTCAGTACAATGAAGATAGATAGATAAGACTTTATTGATCCCGTAGGGAAATTGAAATGCTTACTTGCGTGTTCTCCTCACATGGGAGGCGACATCACAATTCTTGGAAACAGGAACATGGCAGCAGCTGTACTTTTAAACAGCGTTCAGATAGCGGCCGTGTGCTGGAAAAGTGAGGAGCCCCCCCCCCCCAGACCCCCCGTTGGGGTCTGTAGGGGCCGCAGAACGAGACCAGTCCAGATCTGCTGCTCTTGTGAATGGGGACTGGGAATCAACTGCATGTCCCAACAGATTCAGTGGTTTCAGGTTTTGTTCTTTTCCTTCTAACATTTTTCAGCACAGCAATGCTGAACGCAGGGCTTGGTAAGTGAGTGTGTGTGGGTGCATGTCTCTCACCCCACCAGCCCCCTCCTCTCTCACCCTTAGAAAACCCCAAATCTCTCACACAGCACCCCATCTCTCACACCCCCAAACCCCCACAGCACCCCAACTCTCACACCCCCAAACCCCCACAGCACCCCAACTCTCAGCCTCAGAGTTCCTCCTGTCTGAGCCTGTGTGTCTCTCTCAGACTCCAGCCAGGGCTCCAGGACCTACACCCTGATTGAGCAGAGCAAGACCTGGGCAGCCGCTCGAGATCACTGCAGACAGCAGCACACTGACCTGGTCACCATCAGCAGCCCCAGAGAGAACCAGGCAGTGAGGAAGA